GTCCTTTTTATGTTTTTATTTTGAAACAGGGTCTCACTAATTGCCTAAGGCCTTGCTAAGTTGCTGAGGCTGGCTTTGAACTCACAGTTCTCCTGCCTGAGTCTCCCTAGTCGCTCCCCATTATAGGTATGTGCCACTGTGCCTGTTCTAGTATTTTAAAGATGTCATCCCACTACCTTCTGACTTCCTAGCAGTCCAAGATCAAGGTGCTGATTTGTTTGGTTTCCCCTGCAGCCTCTTCCTTGGCTTGTAGATGGCCGCCTTCTCACTTGGGCCTCACATGGTCTTTTCTTTAAATGTGTACATCCATGCTGTCTCTTTTTGTGTCCAAATCTCATCTTCTTAAAAGGACACTAGTCATGTTGTGGTAGAGCCACCAAAATGGCCTTATTTTAACTTAATCACTTTTTTAAAGGACCTATTTCCAATTAGAGTCACTCTGAAGTACTGGGTAATAGGGCTTCAACATATGAATTGGCGGGGGAGGATACAATTCAGCTCACAACACAGCTATTGTACTTTCCGGCTCCACAATTGATATGTGGTTCCTTTTTATAATTTTTATTGCCTTATTGATGTTTTTCTCCTGATTTCCTTTAGTTCTTTATTCATAGATTTATTTAGTCCTTTGGGCATATTTAAAACAATTGATTGAACATCTGTGACTAGTAATTATGTCTTGGTTTATTTTCTGTTACTATAGCAAAATACCCAAGACCAGGTAATTTATAAAGAACAGAAATTTATTTGGCCCATAGTTCTGGAGGCTGGGAAGTCCAAGAGCGTGATGCTGGCATCTGCTTGGCATCCGGTGAGGGCCTTCCTGCTGCATCATAACGTGAGATGGGAAACCACATGGCAAGACAGAGACAGCAAATATGCTAGCTCAGATCTTTCTTAATCTTCTTATGAAGTATTAACACCATGCTAATTACCTCCCAAAGGCCCCACCTCCAGATACCTTTAGCATATTAATTTGGGGATGAAGTTTACAGCACATGAACTCTTGGGGGACACTACAAACCATAGTAAAAGTCAGTGTCTCAGTTTCCTCAGCATGGTTTATTGTTTCCTATGAATGTGCCATATATTCCTTTTACTATGCATGCTTTGTGACTTTTTGTGGCGATCTGGGCATTTTGAGTATTGTTGTAACTCGAAATCAGATTCTCCTCCTCCCTAGGGACTTTTTTTGTTGTTGTTGCTACTTGTTGAATCTGCAGTTGTCTGGAACTTTCCCAAAGTATTTTGCAAAGTCTGTATTCCTAGTTGCATGCAGTCACTGAAGTTTCCATATATATGCAGTCAGCCTGTGACCTGCTAGCGATTTCCTCAAGTGTATGTGTCTGTCTGTCTGTCTGTCTGTCTCTCTCTCTCTCTGGGTCCAGGTCCATCTGTTCTTAAATCTTATAATAGATGCCAGTGGGAAGTCACTCTAAGGTACTGGGTAATAGGGCTAGGTAATAGGTCACTGTATCATGAGGAGGCCAAAACAAACCTGTGCAGGTCTGCTGGGCTAGCCAGAGTACCCAACCCCACTTGGTTGGAGGACAGGCTCCATACTGTGCATCCTGGCATCAGCCCACTGCTCTAGGAATGCAGGTCTCTTTGCCACCAGGTGTGGCAGGGCTAAGGAATGGTGGGTGCACACACTACTTTCTTCTGAGTTCAGCAGTCTTTCTCTTTGTCCAGCATTCTCTTCATTGCTATGTCTGATCACTTTCAGAGTTCTGAAATAGTGATCCCAATCATCATTTTCCAGCTTCTCAATTATGTTGGTGGAGGAGCTTCCTACTCTATTTTCCATAACCTCATTTATGGCATTTATTTCTGTAGAACTCTTTTTAAATGTCTTGTTGTTTAGAATTCCACAATAGATACTTGAACTTTTTGAGGAAAAGATGAATTATTCAATAAATGGTGTTAGGAAAATAGGCTAGCTATTTGGAAGGAAAAGGGCTAGGTTCCAGCTTTACTTTTCATAACAAAGTAAACTATGTATTAAAGGTTTAAATGCCTTTTTAAATGTTACCAAGAAAAAAATAAATAAGGAATTCTCTTATATTTTAAAAAAAAATTGGAGTTTGGATTGTCCTTCTATGTCTGACACAAAATTCTGGAGCCATAAAAGGAAAAAGAATGGTTGTTTTACATGAATTTCACTGTGGCAAAAAGTTCTGTTTGGCTAACAGAAAAAAGAATTGCAACAAAGGATAAACTTAATTTTCTGAATTTACAAAATGATCTTATAAATCAACATTAATTTCCCAGTTTATTTGAGCAAAGGATATGTTACTCATAATTAGGGAAATACAAAATTAAAGTAGCAATGAATCATGGATTATTCCCTTACAAGATTTGCAACATTTTTTTCTTGTTTAATAATAGCCAATCTTAGAGTGTGGGAAGTTGACACTGTCATTTACTATTAGTGAAGGTGTGACTTGATACAAGCTTTCTGGAAAGTAGTTTGGGTAATACATATCAGCATGTTCATGGTGCAGTCCTTTGACCCAGCAACTCTACTGGTGGAAATTGCCCCATAGATATTTTCAAAGGTACGCCAATAATCATTGTAGCATTGCTTGTAATTTTAAAAATCTAGACAAGTGAAATTCTATGAGAACTGCTTATATTAGCATGTATTCGTGGACCAGGAACTGTGTAGCCAAAAACCAGAATGAGTAGCTGTTGTGGGGCTAGTGTGTGGGAAGGCCTTTGAGATATATTAAATGACAAAGCTAAGTGCAAAGTAAAAAGTGGTAATCAACCTATTTTGATGAGGCTTTTTAAAGGATATATATGATTTGTTCTGATATATGTACACAGAAATTTCTAGGAAGATATACAGGAGTTTGTCAAAGGTAATTTCCATTGGATGAATAAATGGTAGCAGATTTTTAATACTTTGTATAATTTTTTTAACATGTGCATGCACTGTCCTCCCTCCCCCCCCCCTTTTTGAGTGTGTGTGTGTGTGTGTGTGTGTGTGTATTTATTTATTTGTTTGTTTGTTTTGTTTATTCAGGGGCTGTAACCAGGGATTGAACTCAGGGGCACTAGACCACTGAGCCACATCCCCAGCCCTATTTTGTATTTTATTAGAGACAGGGTTGCTTAGCACCTCGCTAAATTGCTGAGGCTGGCTTTGAACTCATGATCCTCCTGCCTCTGCTCTCAAGCCACTGGTATTACAGGCTTGCGACACCGTGCCTGGCCCTCTCTTTTTTAAATAGTTAAAATGAAAATTCTATAGTGGTGAGAACTAGCTGAGAGAATCTGTTCACCCAGATGTAGTTATCAGAATTTACATTTAGACCTCCAGTCTATACAAATCTAGAATTACAAATAACCTAAATAATCTCATGATTTTTTTTTTTTTTTTTTAAATAGTAGTTTTCGGCAGACACAACATCCTTGTTTGTATGTGATGCTGAGGATCGAACCCGGGCCGCACGCATGCCAGGCGAGCGCGCTACTGCTTGAGCCACATCCCCAGCCCTCATGATCTTTGTTTAAAATTATTGTGAAATGTTTTAAGATGTATAAAACCATAAATAATTCTTCGTTCCAAAAATATTGTCCTTATCTTAAAATTATTAATAACTGATCTGGCATTTTGGCAAGTTAGAGGAGACAGAGTGAGATGATGGGAAAAATACCACAGGCTTTGGAATCATACTGACCTGAATTCATATCCCAACTTACTAAAAACTGGCTTTTAACCTTGGGAAAGTTACTTAAAATAGCTGAACTTAAGAATATCAAGCCCTACATTTGCAGAGTAATTATAAAGACTAAAGTAGAAAAAGATGTGCAGTCCTTGGCATATAATTACTCAAGAAACATTCATTTCTTCTATTATCACCTCTCCTTATTCCTCAAAATAACTTCCAGTCTTTGTTTGAATTGCCTGATTCTTTATCTCAAACATAGAAGACTTGATATGTAGAGATGTTTGATAAGTATCAAATATGGCATTTGAGTGTTTTTGTGTGCTTTAATTTACTATAGAGTTATGGGGCATAGGCTGGATCCCTAGCAGAGTTCATCATGTGCTGCTATTGTTAAGAATCATCTCTAATGTAGGACTTGTCCCATAAGATGTATGTACAGTAATAACACAGGTAATCCTTTATTCTTTGTAGTAGCTCTATGTCTTAATTGATTCTATTTAGTAGCAGAAACAATATTTACTGTCTCCCTTGCTCTATAACCCATTTGGAGACCACCAAATAGACAGAGTACCTTGCTTTGCAACTTCATCTAGCCTCACTTCTTTAAAACCTCTTCAAGGGCTAAAATTCCCACAGCCGCTAGAGAAACTTGCATTGTTCAGGGCCTCAGTGAATATACCCTTTTTGGTGTTGAGAGACCAAAGGTACAATGTTTCCAGTTCCCTTGATTCTCACACCCTCCCTGAAATCTAGCCTAGCAGTCTCTTATGGGATACTTGAATTGCCAGATTCATTCCTGCCTGAGTGCCTTTGCATCTGTGTTTCCTTCCCCCCACAACTATTTTGTGTGTCAAGAGGGGAGGTTTGCGGAGGATCCAACTCAGGGCCTTAAGCGTGCATAGCACACCATCTACCACTGAGCTATATCCACAGCCCTATTCCCACAATTCTTTGCTCTTTCCCTCACCACAGCTGGTCAAATGTGAATTGAATTTGAGTCTTAAAATTCAGTTGTTTTCGTAGGAATCATGTTTGTTTTAATTAGAAATATTTACTTTGTTTTACCTAGAGGATTTTTATAGTTTACAAATACAATCACTGTGGATTTTGTTTTCTCACACACAGAAGCAAATCAAGAGTTAATTCTGTGAAGGATTGTGGGTGACTCTGGCTTTTGACACTCTCATATCTGCAATAGTGCCCGTAGGCAAGGAGAATTTTTGGAACTTTGGAACTTTGTTTAGTTTTCTTAGGTACGGAGAAGGGTATAGAATAAGTGTCTCTTTGGTCTGGAATTAGTACTAACTTTTCTTTCTCTTATAGTACTAAACAAGATTTGTGATGAAATGGAGCCTGGAACAAACTCTTTTCGAGTCGAGTTTCCTGATTTTTCTAGCACCATTCTGCAGAAACTGAACCAGCAGCGCCAGCAAGGACAATTATGTGACGTCTCCATTGTTGTTCAAGGCCACATTTTCCGGGCACACAAAGCTGTTCTTGCTGCCAGTTCACCCTACTTTTGTGACCAAGTACTTCTGAAAAACAGCAGGAGAATTGTTTTGCCTGATGTGATGAACCCAAGAGTGTTTGAGAACATTCTCCTCTCTAGTTACACAGGACGCCTAGTAATGCCTGCTCCAGAAATTGTTAGTTACTTAACAGCAGCCAGCTTCCTCCAGATGTGGCATGTGGTGGACAAATGCACTGAGGTTTTAGAGGGAAACCCTACAGTCCTTTGTCAGAAGCTAAATCATGGCAGTGACCACCAGTCTCCAAGCAGCAGTAGTTACAATGGCCTGGTAGAGAGCTTTGAGTTGGGTTCTGGGAGCCACACTGATTTCCCCAAAGCCCAAGAACTGAGAGATGGTGAGAATGAAGAGGAGAGCACCAAAGATGAGCTGTCGTCTCAGCTCACGGAGCATGAATACCTGCCCAGCAACTCGTCGACGGAGCATGACCGGCTGAGTACTGAAATGGCAAGCCAGGATGGGGAGGAGGGAGCCAGTGACAGCGCTGAGTTCCACTACACCCGGCCCATGTATAGCAAGCCTAGCATAATGGCTCACAAACGCTGGATCCACGTGAAACCTGAGCGCTTGGAGCAGGCTTGCGAGGGCATGGATGTGCATGCAGCCTACGATGAGCACCAGGTCACTGAGTCCATCAACACCATGCAGACAGAGCACTCGGTGCAGCCTTCGGGAGTGGAGGAGGACTTTCCCATTGGGGAGAAGAAGGTGGAAGCAGAGTTTGACGAACAGGCTGATGAAAGTAACTACGATGAGCAGGTGGATTTCTATGGCTCTTCCATGGAAGAATTTTCTGGAGAGAGGTCAGATGGGAATCTCATTGGGCATAGACAGGAGGCTGCCCTTGCAGCAGGCTATAGTGAGAATATTGAAATGGTGACAGGGATTAAAGAAGAAGCTTCCCACTTAGGATTTTCAGCCACTGACAAGCTGTATCCTTGTCAGTGTGGGAAAAGTTTCACTCACAAGAGTCAGAGAGATCGACACATGAGCATGCACCTCGGTCTTCGGCCTTATGGTTGTGGTGTCTGTGGTAAGAAATTCAAAATGAAGCACCATCTCGTGGGCCACATGAAAATTCATACAGGCATTAAGCCGTATGAGTGTAATATCTGTGCAAAGAGATTTATGTGGAGGGACAGTTTCCACAGGCATGTGACTTCTTGTACCAAGTCCTATGAAGCTGCAAAGGCTGAGCAGAATACAACTGAGGCTAACTAAAAATAGGATCTGGCCCTTGAGTGGCATGCACAAAAATAAACTATGGTAATTAATGCAAATCTGGGCACAGATGATGCGTGCTACTTGCTATTATGAGAGAGGCTTAAAAAAAAAAAAAGGAAGATATTTCTGAAAGACCAGCTCTAAGTAGGCCAATTAAAAAATCTAATTCTTCAACTATGTATGTTTCAATCTTGGCCTGAAATGGGCGATGGGGATAAGTTAGCCCACTGCCCAGCTGGCAAGGGAAACCTTCAAGCCAATAGTGTTTGAAGCAGGTGGACTTGGTAATAGAGACACCTGTACTTGGAACTGGACTCCAGCCTACCAGTTCCATTGCAGTGGCAGCAGTTTTTGATCACTCATTATTACAAGGTCATGTTGAAATTTTATTTTGCTTTAACTATAGATACTTAGGAAATGTGGGTTTGTTTTGGTAGCTGCTTCACTGAATGAAATGCTACTTATGTAAAAGCTACATATAATGTGATTCCTAGTATGAGAAACTGATTAACAGAGCTCTCTTTGGTTTCATTCTTTCTAAAGAGTATTTTAACTAAAACTATGGAGATCCTGAGAGGGTAACACTCTAAAACAAACATTCTGAAACAACTTATGGTACAAGCTTCAGTTTCTGTAAGATGCGACTGTCACAATGTTTCAAACTCTTAATAAGGCACAGTTTTGTATTTTAATACTAACTTTGAGTTTGAATTGTATCTAATTGTAATTCTTTTGGGTGCCAGAGATAGGTGTTTCTAATTGGTTTGCTGCCCCAAATCCTGTTTTTTAAATGTAGCATCCAGGCAGTGAAATCTACTCCGTTTAAGAGACATCTAGCCTGTTGTGACTCTGACCTCTGTGCCAGGTAGTACCCCAGTTGTTGCTCCATCTTAGATTATGGTGCTTCCCAGCAAGGGCAGCCTGTGACCGTATGTCACAGGAAGGAGGAGCAGAAGTCTTGGCTGAGTTACCTGTGAGCTCTAGGAGTTAACAGTGCTGCATGGCACTCCTATTGTCAGAGCGACAGTTGAGGAGAAGCAGAATCTTACGAATGAAAGGTTAAACCCGAGGGAAAAACACTGCACAAGAGGAGTCTTGAAAATACACTGGTGGAAGAGGGGGATACTCTCTTAGAAGGATACACAGAGCTAATGCTGCCAGTTTCTTTTGAGTGCAGCAGTGTGTGTCAAGAGGGGGAAGGAGTCCTAATTTTAGCCAAATATTCTACAGGTTCATTCTTCCAGGTTGCAGATGAGTGCATAAATTGACAAGTCCACACAGCTATATCCAGCAACAAACAAGCAGCTATTCTGAGACCTTTTCTGCCAGCTGGTCAGATGTTTTAGGATCAAAAGAAGGTGTATACTCAGAGTGCTCCTAAGCTGTGTAATGTACCTGAGGTTATTATCAGGGTAGGACAGGGTGCTACTATTATGTCATCTTTCCATAAACTTAACTGGTCTCTTATTTCTAAGTAGAATTTTTTTTCTTAAAATAAAAATAATTTTTCTTGGATTTGGGTGAATTTTGTTTAAAAAGTTTGGTTTTGATCTAACATGGTAGACATCGCTGGCAATGGCCTCTGATCCTCAAGCTCCTAACACAAAGATGTTTACTTGTTGAGCATTGTCTGGAAAGGGGAAAGAAAATGCTTATTTACCAGTTAATTCTTGTAATCAAGGTTACAAAACAGGGATCTATTCACTAACACTGTATCATTCTCGATATATAAAAAGCACTTTGTATTTAAAATTTTATTATAAATATAAATATATATTGTTTTTTAACCTAGAAACTAGATATTACCTCTTGGTTGTTTGCCACCTTAATATCATCTTCTCTTAGTGTTGAAGCTGCCAGTTAGCAGGCCTTTTTCTGTGTACTGACGGAATTGTGCGGATGTGACTGTACAATCAAGCTCAGTTGCTCCTTCTCTTTTTCTCATGTTAGAGGCCAGTGAGTTTTATATGATCCTAGCCTTTATGTGTGAGGAGAAATTGTTTTATTGCTCCTACTAATATCCATACTGAGTCAGTGAAGCCATTCCATTCTGCCGAAAGCTTGATCACCACTCCTGTGGTATTAGCAAGACATTTTCTCCCCTTTGAGAAAGTTTGGTGTGCATTTCCCATTAAACATTATATTGAACTGAGTATCAGCACATTTGGAGAGAAGGGTCTGAGATGTAAAACTGAAATATTCTGGGAAAATCATGACCCTTCAGTTCTGCTGAATCAGCACCCTCATCTTGAGTTGTGACAAAGAGCTTTTGTTCAGCCAGGAGTATGGCCAGTCCCTGGGTGGCAGTTTGGAAGCAGACAGTTGTGCTATGACTTAATGTGTTTGAAGAGAGGAGTATCTTATTGAAATCCTTATATGTACATCAGCTGCTAAATGTAGAACTTAAATAAGGTCCTCACATCTGCTATTTGAAGTTTTTTGTGGTAGTTCAGGTTTTGGTAAAAATAGGGGTTGCTTATGGGTCAGCCAGGCCCTGTGAGTTGCTGGGTGTCAGCCTTAGTCTGGATATGGAACTGCAGTATTGGTGGACTCTGCTTTGCAGGATTAGGAGGTCATGCTGCACTCCTGCCTCCCCGCCCTCAGTTTCTCCTTCAGCCCAGACACAGCTTTAGGAAATCCTTATCCTTCCAAATGTGTTTGGATAGTAACATTTTCCAAACAGTCTTTCAGGGATCATTTGATGGCCTATAACCAAGGTATTTGTCCCCTACTTTGAGTCTTAACTGTGGTTTTTCTCTCATCCCAGTGGGAAAGGGCTTCAAGGCACCACCAGTGGCATTTGATATTCTGCAAAGACTAGGCCTTTCACTCTAGACAAGACACATTATAGTAATCTACTTGGTAAAGCAGATATCTAGCTATGGAAGGACTGCAGTGACTCAGATGCCAGGGCTTGCCCCCAGCCTCTCCTGAGCCTCATACCATTGAGTCCCATTTCTAGATCTTGCCTTCCCCAGTCTCTTTCGGCCCTTGTTTTAAAAGTCTACCCCAAAGGGTCCCCTTTATTTTACTGGGCATTTGTTGAACTACACTGACCTGGGCAGGCTGCTAACTATTGGGAAAGCCTTGTGGCTCCTTCCCACAGAGACTGGCACACCCTGAGCTGCTGCAGAAGGGAAGTTAGGGGCAAGGTTGTGCTTTCCTCGAGAAGGGTGTGCTGCAGCCTCAGGTAGGGGTGGGGAAGGCAACTTCAGTAAATCCACTCATTTTTGTTCCTGTAAACTCTCTGATACTTTAGGAATGCCAGAAACCAAGGGATGTGTTACGCCAGCCCCCTTCTGTGCCACTGACTTTTGTGATTTAGGTTGCTTTCATGAGTAACTAACTTTGTTCAGTGAAACCAGGGTTTGTTTGTTTGTGTTTTTTTCTTTTGCTACTCACATATTTAAAGGTACAAGTTTCTTATTTCAGATCTCTACTGATTGTGCCCTATGGGAAGATGCTGGAACACATTTTGGAAATGTGACTTTTTTTTTTTTTTTTTTTTTTTTTTAATTTGCTTGAAGCCTGTGTCATGTCAGTTGCTGCTGCCTTCTTTCCTTTTATGGAGGTTCCCAATGTTTCTTCCAGAAAATTTATTTATGCAAGTCAGGTGACTCGTAGGCCACAAAACCATTTAATGATAAGCAGATTATCATTAGGTGCATATCTTATTGGTATTTGTGAAATGTTATGCCTGTGTTGCAAAAGTTGAATAGTTTTGTCTTTATATAATTGCTGTCTTTGGTGCACAGCATGGTTTTTCTTAATTGAATGTTACTGTTTAATATTTCTTCTTATAGAAGAGACCATGCCCTTTTGTATGACATGTTTTAATAAATGTTATCTGTCAATTTTGTAAAAGTTTTGTTTTTCACTTTGAGTGGATGACCATATCTTGTTTTCATTCTGGCTTTGACCACCTAAGAATAAAGTTGTATTATGGCTTTTTGATAAGTAAATGCCATAAAGTCTGTCACTTGGGCAGTGAGTAACTGTTTACTGTGCCAGGCATTTATGATGATCATCTCACTTTAAGGCTTGGCTCCCTGCCAGCCTTATCACGTATTCAGGCATGCAGGATAGTCTCTGAGTACTCCCTGGGCCCTCTCCTCACCCTGCACCTGCCCTGAAAGTCAGCCTCTATGGACCTGTCCTGGCTGCTGATCAGGATCACCGCAGATGCTGGGAGGAACTCGGAGGATAAAGGAAATCTCTAGGGCCTCCTCCTGCCAGGTGTGGGTTGGCTGTGGCTGGGCTTCTCTGCCAAGGGCTACCCAACTCCAGTCAGGTGACTTCTGAGACTTGGTAATCACACCCTCCTCTTTGCCTCCCAGCACAGGATTGGTCTTAGCTCCCTGCTTTTTTCAGCCTCAGGTGCTTCACTGTCCTTGAGTGTTTTTGGCCAGAACGCCAGCTGATAGCTTAGGTGTCCTCATTCAGAGATAGCCAGCTTTGATGCAGAGAAGGTAGGTATTAACTAAAAGTCACAGAATGATATGAATAGGGCCAGGATTCAAGAGCAGGCCCTTGTGGCTGCCACACATGCGGTGGTTTTTCCCACTGTTCTGTAGTGTCCCTGTGCATTTCACTTGAGTCCTTGTGTCACCTCACTTTGCCCTTCTCCATCCTTTCCCCTCAAAAACCCCAGCCCTCGAGAGGCAGCAACAGTGCTCTTAGAGGCTGCGAGCACCGAGGGCCCCACGTATTTCCTAACAACAGCTCATTACCAGAGACACTGCTTGTTTTAGACCAAACTTAACCATCCTCCCACACAAACCTTCTGTTACCACTGTTTGTTGTGAGGTTCCCCCTCCCTGTTGCTGATTTTTAAGCCAACTCCAGATTGCCTCAGCTAGCCGTCCTCTATATGGGGGAGAAGTCACCCCAAAGGACCATGCTAGCCTTTATTTGAGGCGAGTCCTGTTTATCCTGACCAAGAGCAAGCAGCTCAGCCCCTGCAGAATGGTGACCTTTCTCTGACACTCTTTCCCACCCCTACTGGGGATCTCCCGAGGCCCTGGTTACCACTAGTCTGGGGAATCCCACCTAAGGATCAGGAATCCCAGAACACTCACCTCCCTTGGGGTGGAGGCCAGTGGGGCTAGAGCTGAGCAGCATGTGAGGAGAAAGGAGAAGATGGAGTGGCTCATTTGTATTTGGGAACAGAAGGGGGTGGGATGTGAGGGGTGTTACCCATATGGAGCTTATAGCACCTGTGCAGTTAATTTAGATTTCCTCCTAGTCAGCTCAGGGACCACTTCTTCCCAGCAAATCACTGAGGATTCCTTGACAGTCCTCATTCCTGGGAATACAGTGGGCACTGCCCTAGAATTTGCCTACAATCAGTGGACCTGGGAGCAAATCAGCAGCTGGAAATGAGGTAAGCTCACACTTGCTGTAATAGGCAATTATTATTTGGTGGATGATCTAAATATGTTTTTTCTCAGTGTAGATAAGGGAAAGATAAGAACTCTGCTCTTTTTATCTTTCTGTGGTGGAAGGTTTGCCTAGCATGTGGGAGGTCCTCAGTTCAGTCAGTGCAAAAAGAAAGAAAATGCTCTGTTTAAAGTTCAGTGAATGAAGATGGGCATGTATTTCACTTAAGGAGAAACCACAAAGGCAGGTGGGGGTGGGGAAAGAAGTCTCTTGGTCTTTTTCTGAACTGGTTTGACTAGTATGAATCAAAACTGAACAGTTTGATTTTAAAATCTTGTACCAATTTTGATTTCTCTTGAGCAGATAAGCCAGTTCATCCTTGCAAGTAGCTGGGTGATCAGTTATAGGGGAGTTACAGTTGTCCTTTAAGGAGGCATGTGGGCTCCATAAAAAAAGATAATTCATAAGCAATGTTGTAGGTAAATACATGTTATTAAAAAAAATAGTGGCTTTTTACTTAGACTCTTGTGATTATGAGTTCTATTTTTTTCTTTCTCATATTCCAAAATAAGAAACCAGTACTAAAGCCATTAAATGTATTTATAACTTAATAAAATACTAGTTACTCCCCAGAGTATACTGGTCTGCTTAATATAACAGCTAACCTTGATGAATGGAAGCTAAAGGTTGCCTCTAGAACTGCTCTTGTTAATTTGGGATCAGTAATGCTGTGATAAAATCTCACATATTAGGGGTCTCTGAAAAGATCCTCAACTCTAGTCATGATGGATGGGTGCCAACACTATAAGCACTGCTGCAATTCCTGTAGGATTTGGCTTAGTTAGAAATTGTAGGCTTTAAAATGACAGCAAAGTGACCTTGAGTCAGACTAGAAAGAATTAATT